TCTCTAAATTAATTTGTGTTTTCATTTTTCAAGTCAAAAATTGTTTGGAGATATGCAAAATGTGGTCAAAAATTTCAAGAACTTTGTGCTTCAAGTTTTTTTATTTTTTAATATATGTAATCACAGTTAAAAAAATTTTGTTAATTCCTTTGTATATACTTTTAAACATTCAACTTTCATTTATGAAATATATGACGTTATTCCATTCAATATGTGGTTGTGATTCAAATGATAGTATATAGTGTGTATTACATTCTTCAAATGCGCATACAAAAATAATATTGATTGTTCTTCAAATATGTCCCTCACACGCATTAACTGTGATAAGAAATGCATATAACGTGTGATCTTATCTTATTATTAATCACAGATTTTATTAGATATTAATCACACTTAAAATCTGTGATTTAAATATTTATTATCACAGGTTTTATTAGTTATTAATCACACTTAAAAGACGTGATGGAATCATTTTTTAATGACACTTAAAAGGTGTGATTGAAAATGACTCCTTTTAATCACATTCCCAAAGATCACATTTTAATAAAACTTAAAAGGTGTGATTAAATAGCATACATTACATACAAAAAAATGTGATCTATTTATGAATTTGTAGCAGTGAAACCAAAACAAAAAACAATTTGTATCTATCTATCTATCTATATACATGCCTGTATAGAGAGAGAAATGGGTGAGTTGTAGAGAGAGAGAGAGAGAGATGTGGGGGATGAAGGAGAAAAGGTTGTGTTCATGGTGGTGTTTATCATCATCTTCTTTAAAGCTGTTTGGGTTGATTGTTCCATTGATTTTGGTTTCTGGGTTTGTGGGTTTAGTGGGTCCGAAGAACTCCAATTGGGTATTTGATTCAAACAAGTTGTGTTTATGGGCATGGAGTTCTGTGATTCCATCATCATGATCAGTATGATCATCATCATTAGCTTATCTTCTTCTTCTGCAATGTTTGTAGGACTGAAATCAAACTCAACTAGAGATTCAGTTTCAACAAAGAATGAGCATTTAGATTCAGTATCATCCTCAGATGAGTCCATCTTTTACCGCTATTCTCCTCCACCGCTTCCTATTAATCCCATTCACAAAAGCCAACCACCTATAAGACCCTATATATATGTATATTGAACCTATCGATCATCATCATCATCATAATCAGAGACGAAGGTCTAGATCATCTTCACCAGCCTCATCCAATGGCGGCAAGACGTTGAGATCAAAATCCATCACCTTGCGAATCAACGATGAAGCGATGTCTCAATCTCCATCATCGACAACCGAAGACGATGAGTCACAGTCACTGCGATAGTCGTCGGGCAAACCTGACGGCGTCCGGAGGTACCGCCGGGAGGAAGACAGCAGAAGAACCGAGAGATTGGTCTGGTGGAGGTGAAGAGAAGAGCAGAGAGAGAGGAAGAGAAGGAGATGCTGGTTTGATTTGAGAGAATCAAATTTCTTTGTGATACATGGTTGTAGGGTTGAGAGACCTTAGACATTACAAAATAATATTGTAGACTTTATCCATTACTAAAAATGAAAAAGGGACCTTAGACTAATTTTCTCTAAATAATGCAACTAAAATTATTTTATATATTTATTATTGTTATATTTTATATTATGATAAAATTAATATTATTCTTTTGTAATGTATAGATTATAAAATATTTCTAAACATAATTTATATATAGACATATGTAAATAATTCAACTTAATTTTATAAAATATTATTTTTAAAAAAATTTATCTGTCTACCGGTTGGTCAATTGCTATTTATAAAAGTATATAATAAAACTAATAAAAGTTAAAAGTACTATCCTGCTTAGTTGTCAATAATTAACTTCTTTTTTTTTTCCATATAATTATCATAATGAAATTACACCAAATACTATATAATACAAACTTCTGAATAAAAAAGAAAATTTATTCATAAATTCTATACGAGGGAATATTGATATATTTAGTTTCAAGAGCTTTTTTATGAATCAATTAGTTTTTTTTATTTTGAAAAGTTGTATTTATTTGATTTGGTATTATTTGAGTTTAAGTGAATGCATTTTTGTGATTTAATTTTTAAATTTTCTGATGCGTTTTTGGGATGGAAAGGGAAAGGTGAGGTTGAAAGATTCTTTTTTGGGGGATTGGTAGCTGAAGTGTTAATTGTCAAAAGTTGAAATTTGCATTTTTGTTAGTGTGATTTTTTGGTACTACATTGGAGTGTTTCATTACAGTTTTACGTTTGGAAAAAATATACTAAGGAATTTTGCGCCCTTTTTATTTTAAATGGAAACATTCATCATTTTAGCTCATAATTTCAAAATAACACATTCATACAATTCTTTTTTGAATGAAAATTCCATTTGTGTGTGAATTTCCTATTTATTAACATTACATGAGGAACCATTCTAACAAAACTCTATTATTTTTCCTTCAAATTTTAGTCAAAAAACTAGTTCTTTTAAAGAACGACATATCCAACCAACATTTCCAAAAATGTTATTTATTTTTTCTATTTTATTTAAATATTATTTTTAAAAAAATTTATCTGTCTACCGGTTGGTCAATTGCTATTTATAAAAGTATATAATAAAACTAATAAAAGTTAAAAGTACTATCCTGCTTAGTTGTCAATAATTAACTTCTTTTTTTTTTCCATATAATTATCATAATGAAATTACACCAAATACTATATAATACAAACTTCTGAATAAAAAAGAAAATTTATTCATAAATTCTATACGAGGGAATATTGATATATTTAGTCTTAAGAGTTTTTTATGAATCAATTAGTTTTTTTTTTTTATTTTGAAAAGTTATATTTATTTGATTTGGTATTAGTTGAGTTTAAGTGAATGCATTTTTGTGATTTAATTTTTAAATTTTCTGATGCGTTTTTGGGATGGAAAGGGAAATGTGAGGTTGAAAGATTCTTTTTGGGGGGATTGGTAGCTGAAGTGTTAATTGTCAAAAGTTGAAATTTGCATTTTTGTTAGTGTGATTTTTTGGTACTACATTGGAGTGTTTCATTACAGTTTTACGTTTGGAAAAAATATACTAAGGAATTTTGCGTGTTATATTGATAGGAGTGTTTCGTTTGAATATATATATATACACACTGAGGAGTTCTTTTAGAATATTACATTGTTATATTTGAAAAAAGTATACTAAAAGGTTTTTTAGTATGTTACATTTGAGTCTTACAATTGGAAAAAGTACACTAAGGAGTTTTTTTTTGAAATATTACATCATTACATTTGAGAAAAATATACCAAGGAGTTTTTTAATATATTACATTAGAGTGTTGCGTTTGACAAAAGTATAGTATAAGGAGTTTTTGTATATTACATTTATTGGAATATTACGTTTGAGAAAAATATATTAAGGAATTTTTTTGGAATGTTACGTTATTACATTTGAAAAAAAATACACTAATTTTTTTTTGGTTACATTGGAGTGTTACGTTTTTTAAGTGTTATATTAGAGTATTACATTTAAGAGAAATACACTAACGAATTTTTTTAAAGTGTTACGTTTAGTAATTTCAACATTATGAAAAAATTCGCAATTATCCATCAACACATAACACACGCATTTATTGGCCATTATATAATTCACACTAAAATAAGACCTTTCAATTCATAAGAAAAAAGAAAAGATCAAACAATTCATAAAATCACTATTTAAAATTTATTGACACCTCACGCAAATAAAAATTACTGTAAACAGCTTCACCATTACTGAAAGAAGAATCACAATTTAGGGAAAGCATAATAAAGTTTGGTGATATTATATGCTCAGATTGTCCGGGTCTTCCTTAAGCCTCTGATTCCTCCTGGTATATGTCAAACAAAAATTCTAATCAACTTGGGCCTTTAAAAAGTATTTTATGGGCCCACTTTTCACTTAACAGCGCCCAAAGTTTATTACACAACAAGAACATGGCCAGTCAACAAAGCCTTTTTTAAGAAAAAAAAATTCCATTCAATATTTCTTGTATATTAATTAATATCTTGAAATATATTTCAAAAAACTTGTTCACCTCTTATAATTTATCATGTGAATCAATTTAGGAGTAGAAAACAAAAATACATAAGACACAAGCATTACTTTCCTTTCTTTTCGAGCATGTTTGTTTGCCAGTATGAACATGAGAATTGAACTATGAGCGAAATAGATTCCACTCATAGTATGTTTGGTTAAAAAAGTTGTAAAGGAATTCACATTTCAATTGGAATAGTGGTCCACCACTATGGGTGGATTAGCAAAGATGGGTGAGAGATGGGATTGATAGTAAAGGACTATTTTGTCCCTTAGTTTCAATAATTCTACAATTATGTAATTTCACAAGTTTAATTCCAATCAATTAATACTATCACACTACTACACAAACAAACAAACATACTTTATCTTATATTTTTAACTTAATATTATTACATTATTAATTTTCTCGCTCAATTTCATCAAATTTATAATTACATTTAGGCTAATCCGTTAAATAAAAGTAGCTGTATTGCATTGTAGAAGCAGTCCTGTAATTCACTCATATGGGCAACAACTAAGGTTGATAGCCCCAAATGCTGAAAGTGAAAGTGATCCTATGAGAAAAAAAAAAATGAGACAGCTAAGGTTGTTAGGCCCAAAAGCCGAAAGTGAAAATGAACATATGAAAAAAAGAAAAAAAGAAAAAAACTAAAAAGAAAAAGTTATGACATATCAAACTGAATAATTAAAGTCTAACCGACACTAAAACTAATAACCCAACGACTTTAACAATTTCAATAGAGGCTGCTAATAATATGTTTCCCATTATGTTAAACAATTCCCAAATAATTTTAGTGTGGTATAGCTTTCACCTTTGTCTAGAAAGTGAATGAGAAAAGAAAAAGAAAAAGAAAAAAAAAAGAAAAGAAAAGAAAAGAAATGTCACAACACCTAACTAAAAAATTATTAAAAGCAAAACAAAAACAAAGACACAGTAAACTTATAGTGGGAAATGATTAATGAATACTTTTTTTTTTTATTATAATGACAAATCATACAACATCTTATGTGACCTCAATGTCAATAACCATTAGGCCACAAACATTAGACTACCAACCTCATTATTGATCCTTTATTGTACATATATATATGTAAAAACCTTTACATAAAAAACCCACATACACCCAAAACTAATTGAACAATTTTTAAGCAAGGGAATAAAAAATCTTGTACATGACAAAGCACTAGCATTACATGATTGTGCATCCTGAGGCATTTTCTTCACTAAAGTAATCACACCGACTAGTGTAACAATTCCAATTCCCACCACAACTAGAAGGCTCACATCCATAATTATCATAGGGTGGCACTGGCCTTCTATGCCCATGATAACATGGCCCATCAGTACGGCCCTCATAGCATTGCCCACAACATATCCCAACCGGATACATCGGTGGGTAGCAAACCGGTACAAAAGCTGGTACAAAAGCTGGGAGACATGGTGGCTCTTTGGGTTTCACGGGAAAAGCTAGTGGTGGCTCCATGGGCTTTTCAGGCGCCTTGGGCTTTTCAGGTTCTTTGGGCTGAGTCTGTATGGGCTCAGTCTGTATGGGCTTTTCAGGTTCTTTGGGCTTTTCGAGCTTCTTGGGCTTTTCAGGGGGTTTGGGCTTTGGAGGCTCTATGATCTCAATGCACTTGATTGTCTTCCCACCCTTACAACACAATTTGTCACGAACCTTCTCAGGACTGCAGCATACTACGACGATCGTCACCGTATTTTGCTTCTCATCATAAATCTGATCTCGTATTTCTAATTATTCCCAAATGTTCAGACATAAAAAATCAAAATTAAACAATATTATGTATATATATAAAATAAATTCATAGTAATGAAAATATATTTTAAAAATAAAGTAATCCAAGGTGTGAACATCTTATCCTTTTTAAATTCTGCTTTAGCAAAAATTCATTCAGAAAGTTATTTTTTGTTATATATAGGAAATGAATTGTCTCCTGTTTGTGGACTCGATTGGATTATCTAATTTAGCCGATTAGGTCCACTATGTCTATGTTTAATGATTTTTCCCGTTTATTTATAACGTCTACTATGTAAATTATTCCTACAAAATTTAAATTGACTTGAAAACCATAAATTCATGATTTTATTATTTCAGTAGCAAAAAAGAAAAAATGAATAGTTTATTTTTAAAAAACATATTTACCGTTTATTTTTTCAAAGATAAAAATAATAAAATTATATATGGGAAAATTCTAATATACACACTCTTGAAAAGGGTGTACCATGTGTTTCCCTAATTATGTTTTTTTTTTCTTCTTTAATTATGACCAATTTCTTCTTTAATTATGACATTATTTTAGTTATAACTTATAAGTTCTTTAATTATGTAGTTAGTTATGATAAATTTTTTTTTTTAATTATAACTTAAAAAGTATGAAACACTACAAAAAATTAAAGTTTTAGAGACTAAAATTTAGGGACAAAATTATTTTTTAAGAACCAAATATTTTTGTTACGAAACGTATCGTTTTTATATTTTTAGCAACGAAAATTAGACATTAATGATGAATTATTGTCCTTTTGGGATCAAATTTTTTGTCTCAAAAAATAAATCATTTTGAGACCAAATTATTTTGTTCCTAAAAGTCTATTTATTAGTGATATTTGCAAAATTTTATCGCTAAAAGCCTTATTTTTAACTCTTCAAGACGATCTTTTAGTGACTATCTTCATGACGATAAAAATTAGTCCCTAAATATATTTTGTAACAAAATTTTATTTTTAGAGGCCAAATATTTTAGACTCTAAAACTCTTATATATTGTAATGAAATTATAACAATTTTTTTTCCAATTATAAAGTGCATATATACACGCGCTTTAGAGTATTTCCTTTATATATGTTGTTATCGAAAGGTGACCCTAAAAAAGCCCAATAAGTCCATTGAATTGTCTGCTTGAGAGAATCCAATCCCCTATTTATATATAAGGTCGTGTGTTTTCTGTTTGATTATCCAGTCCTAGAGAAATGACAAATTCATATATATACATCAAAATGCTTACATCCTTTTTTTTAGACTCATAATTCCTTTACATCTGAATAATTGATGTATATGTAGGTTCTTAAGAAAAAAAAGTCACAATTATTACTTTATATATATATATAGATATTGAATCCGTACATGAAATATGTATGTATTATGTATAGGTGAAAATGTTTAATAATGAATACAAAAAGGTTGGGGGGGACTAACGAGGAAATTTGCAAAGAATTTTCTTGATCTTCTTGTAGCAGCTAGAGCACTGAAGGTCAACCTTCAACACCATTGTTGTGACCTGTTTACATGATGACAGAAGACTACAATTGTTAAGGAATCAAGAAAGTACAAGAACAACCCCGTTTGGGAGATGAGAAAATTTGCTGTTGAATTAGAGAGGGACAAAGAAAGAAGTAGAATTGGGTCCTGCCATGTAAGATTTGGCGGAGTAGATGATGAAGAAAATAAATTCAAATCCACAAGATATCAATGTTAAACAAAACAAATCTCAACCACAAAAACGCAAAAAATGGATAAAAATTAAATGGGTTTTTTGAGATAGTGGAAGATGATCATAATTCACAAACCTTCTCAGCCATAGTGGAGAGACTTGGGATTGATTAGATCTGAACTCAGTGATGAATGAATTGTTGTGATGTATTGACAACTATATTGAGAGAGACCGAAATAAAGAGAGAGAGGCAAAGAAAGAGAAGGAGAAGGGTGGTTCAGAGAGAGAGAGAGAGTAAAAGGCCTTACTTATGAATGGTAATCGACTTGGGTTGAGAAGTCTAAACTATGAAGTGGGTGTCGCATGGTGGGTCTGTTTAATTATAGGCATTCAAGTATTTTTGTTATATTATTTTGAAAATGACCATAACTTCCTTTTTTATATTTAATTTACATTGTGGATTGGATTATCTAGTTGAGTCTCATTCCAATAATTTGATCCCCTCAATTTTTAAGTCTATATATATAGCAATTATAGGTATGTTATTTTATTACATTTGTTTTAAAAAAAAATTAATAATTTATTTTTAAAATTATTCTTAATTACAATTATCAAATTTATCTAAATTTTTTTCATAAACAATCTATTCATAGAGGCCTACCTAAATAAATTGAATTAGTAAAATGACAATGATAGGTAGCTCAAATTTTTGTGGCTCAAATGGCTCAAATCTGTCAAAACGACATCGTTTTGACAGATTTTGAGTGTAAAACGACGTCATTTTGACAGATTTGAGCCATTTGAGCCACAAAAATTTGAGCTACCAAACATTTTCCTTAGTAAAATGAGGCATGTGATAAAGTTGCAGGCCAACTAAAGGTTCGTTTGGGATGTGGATTAGCTTTTTGGCATTTTGGCTATTTTAATCTGGGATTAAAAAATTTCATTTGGTATAGACTTTAGTTTTTTTGACTTTTGTAAGAGAAAAAATAAAATGATTATAGTTTGGATGTGATGTTTTGTCTTATTGGGTTAAAAAATTTATTTTGTCTTTTTGTAACTAAAATAGTTAAAAAGCCAAAAAATCTAACATGTCAAACGAAGGCTATATAGTTCAATCCATCTTTGTGGCCAAAACTTTGCTCATTATAAAATATATAAACTTTTTTTTTTATGACACATTATGAAAAGAATTTATAAAATTAATTTGAGAGTGATTGCATAATATATAATAAAATATTACAAATTAATTCAAAATGAAGAATCTTTATAAAAAAAATTTATATTATCCCTTTCATAATACCTAACATTATTTTTTTTACTTGGTATTATGTTATTATTATTATGGTATCATGGGACTACTTTTACTTAAATAAGAAAAAGAGTTTTAATTTAGTACACAATGGATCCTATGAAGCGAGAACACGCGATGTAATGCCCTGCCTTTTTATTACTCGGATTTCATTATCAAATTATTATTATAGATTTAATTTTAGAGATAACATACAAAAACTCTTTATATTTACAAGAACACATGAATAAAGATTCTCTCATCCGAATATAATATGGATGCAACAAGAGTTGTATTTAAATAAATTGTCTGTAGGCTTACATCTTTTAAACTATAAGAGAAAGGGTTTAACCCTTTTATATCAATGGCATTCCGCCCACAAATAAAAGGCCTTGTGGCCAACAAGTAATGAAAATCCATGACCTTGAAACACTCCTCGACGTTCACCTGAAAAAGGATTAGCAACGTGGAATGAACATAAAGTCCAGTATGGATCTCAACATGATCCTAAACAATAACAACTTATAAATAGTTATGATCATGAATGCTTAGTCTCATACTATAATAATAATGTGACGGTTTATACCGAAATATACATATATAAGAACTTTTCTCAAAATCATTCATTTCATTCAATTCACTTTTCTTTCTTCTTGTTGCTTTTTTTTCAAAATTCATATGACCATAACAAATTCTATAAAAACAATTTCACCAAGCCCATTACGTTTTCTCTCACTTTCCGAACTTGCACCTGATTTGCCTTTTCAAAATATGTTCACAAGTATCCAATATCCTTCCTATTTTTCACAATCTCAATATAATATTTAGGTCCGTTTCCAACACATTCATTTGTATACATGCATACTTTTAGTACAAAGGAAACAATAAGCAACCAACAAGTATCTAATCAACAAATGGGGCAACTCGGCCTTCTAAAACTATAACCATCATAACCCATAACATACCCAGATACACTGAGCTAATAATGATAAATAAGTTCTGCTCTACCTGCCATAAACACGGTAAGCAGGATACAACTTTCCACAATGAAATACCAATTTACCAGACATCGGCTGGAAGGTAATGGTACATCTGCCAAGTTCTCTAGGCGCTAGCTGGAAGGTACTGATACCTCTCATTCTAAGCGCGGCCAATTCTCCAGGCGCTAACTAGAAGGTAATGGTACCTTTCATTCTCAGCGCAGTATACGCTACCAATCATTACAACATGACAAAGTACAACCAACAAGTGTAATGCATACACATAAATTATTCAACAAATTACAATCAACACAAGTGTAATGCATACACAACAATTCAACACAACAATGTCATCTTCCACCGATGACTAAGGACAAAACCTCTAAATGTATGTATTCAACACACGTATTATAATAATTTAACTCTCGTGAGATTTTAAATCCAACAACAACAATAGTAAGACAACTAAGGACAAAACCTCCAAATGTATGTATTCAACACACTTATTATAATAAATCAACTCTCGTGAGATTTTAAATCCAACCTCAAGTTAATTTCTGAAATTCACATAGTGTTATCATTTCATTCTTCCATTTCAAAAATCAATTCTCTTATTTTCCAAGTTAACATAATCCACCCTTCATCCCAATCCATTCTTTTCATTTCACAAAACAAATCCCATGGCTATCAAAAGCCATAACCCAACTCAATTTAATATGTTCAATCCAAAATAATTCCAATGCCATAGTTAATTCTCCCTTTTAGCTATTAACACATTTACACAGCCCATAATAACAATTTACAAACATTAGTCAACTTTACCCATTTTTAATTCACCAAATCAAAACATTAAATTAGGGTTTTTTCTTCTTTCAACATAAACATGCTAAATTACTTCTCAATTAACCCAAACAACAATCAATTTAACAATCTTATTCCCAAATAACAAACCCTAGGTTCCCTTTCATGACTTTCAAAGAAATCCACAATGGATATAATTTTAATGCAATACAAATCTACCACATATCTATCTATAGATGAGGTATTGAAAAGAAACAAAGAAATCCCTACATTAAATGGAGAAGCTTAAAGAGAAAGAAGAAGAGACTTGAAGATGATCCAACTTAAACTTCTTCGGATCAAAAGGAAGCCCACGCGATGCTCTAGCTTTTTAACAAAGGAAGTAGGGTAGAATGACCCTAGATCAAGAGTATTTGTAGAGAGAATGGGTATTTTAGAGGGAGAGACTGCCGATTTAGGGTTTTGGAAGAAGAAGAGGTTCAAAAATGGTGTATTTCATCTCTGCTGCAAACTGATATATGCGAGGCTCGCTCGAGCGAAGGAGTTGTCGCTAGGGCGACCAGACACAACAATGGACCTCGCTCAAGCGCAAGAAGCGTCGTTCGAGCGAATAATGAGAAGCTTCAGGTCTGCAACCAACGCGGACGCACGCTCGAGCGCAAGAGTTCTCGCTCAAGCGGAAGAACAAATAACATAGGGCTCGCTCGAGTGCAAGAAAGCTTGCTCGAGCGAAGAATACCAACCTTCAGGTCTTACAGAGACGTAGAAGCACGCTCGAGCGCAAGAAGTCTCACTCGAGCGAAGAGACACACCAAACAAGGCTCGCTCGAGCGCAATAACCCTCGATCGAGCGAAGAAGCAAAAATCCAAGGCTCGCTCGAGCGAAGAGGCCAAATCTTAGGCAGCAACCACTTAAACCAACTTACACCTAACTTGTTCCAAACTCCCCCAACACATCCTAAAACTCAAATACAAAAAGAAAAAGGAAGGAAACAAGACATAGACAACAGTATACAACCACGGAACCCAAGTTTGGAACACAATAAAGGTCGGGGTAAAACCTAGATCACTATACGTGAAGAGGGTGTTGAAATTCATATGCTCATTAAGGTTGTCTTCGAAAGAGAGCTCGCGCTGTATTCTGATCAAATCTTAGCCTTATTAGGGGTGATTGATGAAATTCATGTGATTGATTTGCTGGAAAAATAAAAAATGATCTTTACGTTGACAATAATGACCATGGGGTCTATTATGTTAAAGCTCGGGTGAATTGTCATTTGTTGGAAATTCTTAGTCAACCCGCTACATGGTCGACGCATCGGCTTCTTCCTCAAGATCCAAGTATCGCAACTGCAAGGATGAATGTGGTAATATTGACATTGCAAAATAATAACCAGTAACTCATTAGAGTATGGAAGTTGCGTTATTACTATTTTAAAATTGCTTTTACTCCTCTTGTAAAGTTGTTAATTGAATCCAAGTAGTCACGAAGGACATTTAAGTGCTAGTGAAATGGGGTTTTAAGTGCGAGCCAAAATAGTGGTGTCAGCCTATTATAGTAATTCAACTTTATTAACTTATTTAATATCTTACCATCCTAGTGACAAAAGTAAGGAAACAAAATCGATGGCTATTACGAAATAAAATATTAAGTATAAATATTATCAGATAAATTTTAAATATACTTTTTGAGATTTGATTAAAATACAAATCGTCTCTTGTGATTTTGAAAATTATATTCTACACCCTGAGGTTTCTAATTTCATAACAAATTGTCCATTTTATTAATAAATCATCAAGTCAATTAACAGTTTTTAATGATGTTAAAAATATGTTTCAATGAATAATTTAGGTAATGTTATTATTGTACAGGAGAACAATTATAAATTTCATTTTTTTAGTTAATTCTGTTAAATAAAAAATTCTAATAAAGGGGTATTTGTAAGTTTTCAAACCACATAGGGTAATCTGTATTTTAAGCAAACCTCAGGAAGTATATTTGTAATTTATCCAATATTATCATATAAACATAATTTAAATTAGAGTTTAGAATAATAATTTGTCAGAATGTGAAAGTCACGTTGTTATTATCTAAAAATTGATTTTACCCATTTTTAATGAAGTTCTTAATGGGACCAAGCCTAAGTGATGGCGAGGGGTACTTAAGTACTTGTGAAGTGAGGTCAATAGCTTGAGTCAATGGATTAGTATCGGCCTGCATTAGTTATTTAACTCTATTAATTAATAAGTTCAAATCATTGGAATTGCGTTAGCGAACTTGCAG